GAAAAAGCCCAAAAACTGTAAAAGTGCGAGGAAAGTGTAGAGCTGAGGCTATCGGAGCCCCTGGCCTGGCTACTGAAGAAACCTGCTGTGCTGTCTAGAAACACATTGAAGTTAACGGAGTCAGTAGGTTGACAATAACCAGCAATAGCAATAGCAGTACCAGCATCAGCACGAACAACAATAAAGCTATGCGGCTAACGATTTACGACAGAGGAGAGGACATCCCAACTGAAGCAAGGGTCGTGGAATCTGCGTGGTGGTGATCTTGTAAAACAAATATCATTCCACAAGCCTTCGTGTTTTAGGGTTTCGAATTGATTTGCCTTGGGTTCCGGGTTTAGCTTCAGAGCTTCGGGTTGAGGTTTAGGTTCGGGTTTGGTGAGCCCGACTCGTCGCGGAAGATGCCCATGACACGTAAGAAAGCTCCCAACTTCGTAAACGGTCTCTGACCGGAAGAGGTGAGGCTACTGCTGGGGCCTAAATAATTACCATTACTATATTGGGTGTTCCTGCTTATATTTGTAAGTATAATGGGCCCCAAAATCCTATTCCAATTAGTAAGGCCCCTATATTACGGCGCAGGTGGGTTCCACACACGACCATTTCAGTGCATCTCGAAGCTCTTAACCCCGGAGTCAATAACTCATTCTTGGGATACCGGTTTGCCTTCCTGCCCGTGCGGCCTCTTCACCGGGAGCATCCCAGCCTACGATGAAATCGGGTCGCTGCTTCTTCACCTCCGACTGGTTGGGTCTGCCCTTTCGTGCTTTGCTACATAGCTGTCAGGGTCGCAAACCAAGAGCAGTTCAGGAGGTGAACGCGTCGTCTACACTTGGGCCTGGCCCATTTTGGGTGATATCGGGAATTGAAGTTTGGCAAGCTTTGAGATCACGAAACCAACCCAATCTACTCCAGCGTAACCGCAACAAGTGGAAAGCCTCGAGAGACGATACAAGCCTTATAGACTCGCCAAACACCTACCAATGCTTATCATAAACCATAGTCAAAGATAATAACCCTGTCACAAAAAACAACACCATAGTTCACTGGTTCTAACATTACTATAGACTGTCAGCAGCAGTCATTGATTCATGTAGTTTCATACAAAAACCCAAACCGCACGAGGGCGTTGGGGAGCCATTGAGCTCACTTCTACAGCGCTTGCTGCCTCGAAGGCAAAGACCAGATCTTTCGCCATCTCCTCAAAGCTCATCGCAGAGACTCAAGTTACATTGGGAGCTGCAAACGGGCGACAAGTTTGCAGTGTGTCTGTGTGTGGCTTCGATTCTCAGACGATTCAAGTCAAAGGGATCTTATGGAGAAGCAAACCTATATGAGATCGTGAGGGCTTGACTGAAGATTTTGAACTTCGGAGTCTTGGGGTTGGCGGACAGGCTAAGCTCATGTACAATATTGAAAGAAGTAAACAGGGACAATGGCACTAAGCACAAACGAACAGATTCAAACAACACTTGCCCATAGACGATACCCAAATATGCAAATGCTAACCGACGAGGCTCCAACAGTAAAAACACACACATTAAAACATGAGTCGAACAGACTCCAACCATGAAGACCAACACAGGAAGCAAACCGATGCTAAAACACAACTGCAGACAAATTGATCAACAACAAACGAGACCCCGAGCAACAGCACAAAACAGTATTGCTAGCCAAGCGCCGACTGATACGATACCACCCTAAAAAGAAATAACAACATATAAAATGAATTGCAAAAGCAAACCATATCCTAACACAATCAAACGAAAACACAAGCCTAGACGACCGAAACAACATTCAAATTGTCAAGGGAAGACAAACCAACAATGCGCAGCACAGGCTCAGACTGAAGGCCCGAAATGCATCTCTTCTGCTCGATGTTACTATGACATGTCTTGTTTAATGTAATCTGGCGGCCTGAAGGGACTAGAGTCGGGTTTAGCAGTATGCTGTGGTACATATCTACAGGATTTCACGGTTCAACCTTCGAGCCTTAAGCTCCAAAATTGTTCATAAGACCCTGAGGCCCTTTAGGCTCCAATATGGGGGCCTCAATGATTGGAATCAGGGTTTCGGGGTATAGCAGTATGGATCTATGTCATAGAAGGAACCCTGACAGATAGTGTTCCTTTCAGACCTATATATGGGTTAACCACTGTAACTTCCCTCATCTGTGCCCGTATGGGAACCCTTACACTGTCTTATACTTATGGCTATCCCTCTAGCTGCATCTTACAGTGACCCTCATACAATGCTAAAGCTATCCCCTTCAACTAACCGAAGAATAACCCTTGGGATAGAATATTAAGTTGAATGCCGCTGTCTCCATTAAAAAACTTTTCGCTACCCATACTACGAAAACAGTAATCGGTATAACACACTGTAAATGATTCTTCAGGCCCTAAGCCCTTTGCCGACAGGCACTCAGCCCAACCCGTTTTGAATCCCCAAGCCAGGCCGAAGCCTCGAACCCTCAAATCCTAAGCCCTACACCCCCCGAGCCCTTTTTGCTATAGGCCCCAAGCCCTGTACCCTTTTTTGCAACTGGCCACCCCAAAACCCTAAATAAACATTAAATCCACAACCTTATAAGCCCTATACCCTTCTTTGCAAGTGGCCACCCCCAAAACCCTAAATAAACCCTAAATCCACAACCTTATAAGCCCCCAAATACCGAAATAAACCCTAAATCCACAACCCTAAACCCTAAACCTTAAACCCTAAATAAACCCTAAATCCACAACCCTATAATCCCTATAAGCCCTATAACACAAAGGTCCGAAGGCCTCGGGAGCCTTCATCCGGACGCTCGAGGCGATCCTTGGTAGGGTAGTGCCTTTGGCTTAGGGTTTAGGGTTTTTTTGGCGGTTGATGCTAGAGTCTTGCGAGGCGCTCATCAATTCCATCATAGGGTTTAGGGTTTAGGGTTTAGGGTTTAGGGTTTAGGATTTAGGGTTTGGGGTTTAGGATTTAGGGCTTAGGGCTTAGGGTTTTGACACTCACACTCGGACAACGTTGAAAGAAGAGAGCTCACAGTAGGCATGGTTCAAAGGTTTAGGGTTTAGGCCTTTCTGTCCTTCAAATCCAAACATGTACAGTTGAGAGTCGATTTACACTTAAAACAAAGGCGTGTAGTGTCTGTGTATATGTATGCATATACACAGCATACTACGTATTTTATACACATATATATATATATATATATTCATATTTATACTTATATTTATATGGAATTTATATTCATATTCATTTATTTATTTAATTTCTTATTTGTATATACAGGTATATACACATAGTCTCTGTGTGTGCATATATACGTATACATACACACACACACACGCACACACACACACACACATATCTATATATATATATATATATGAAGTTTTCGCGGTGAGGTGTTAACTGGTTCTGAGCGTTCCCTTGAGGATTCTGAGGGGTTTGCTGCAATTCTATCGGGCTCTGGGGGCTGACGGTTTTCGAAAAGTTGAGAATCCCTGGCCTTGGAGCGGAGTCTACAGGATTCCGGGGTTTGCGCACCCAGAGAGTCCAAACGTGCTGCATCTGGGGGGAAAAGCAAAGTTGGAGCGGGAGCGGGGGGGGGTGGGTGGGGGGGTGCTTTCGCTTTGCAACTGGATTTGGGGGCCAAGACTACCTTCAGGGCAGAAGGTTCCGCTCAGGCGGTTCTGGTTGCGCTTTTGTTTCGCAAGTCTCTGGAGTTGGTTTCGTTGTTTGCCCTATGGTCGCATCATTGCATGAGTCTGAGCTGACCCACTTCCACTCGACCGGTCGTCAGATGAGGCTTAGAGTTTGAATGCCGGGGATTCCATAATATGTGTTGACGGCCATGGGCCTGAAGCTCAGAGTCTCATTGCGAAACGCACAAGAAGACAAGGCAGAGAACTCCATGGCATCATGCATGATGGCAGCTTAAAAGTGAAAGCGAAGCGATCTAGCTCTTGAATCTTGGCACACGGGAGCACCTGAGTTCTCAGCCCCAGAAAGTTACATTTGCAAGCCGAAGCGGCATCTTGCAGGTCAGGTGCGGCGCTGACTTCTGCCTGAGAGCGGCGAGGGTGTAGGGTCTCTGTCGCAGTTCCCATGGCAAAACCTGTAGACTGTACCCATAGGCCCCTAAAGTTGTTCCTTCTGCGGGTTCATGCATGGAATCCTATAAGCTAACCCCAAAAAAAAACTACTATGGGGCCCATGGGTAGACTCTGCACGACCGGTCTTGCTCAATTTGCCACTCGATGGGATCTCCCCAGCTGCAAGGAAACCTCAAGCTGAAACAGCCTAAGACTTGTAAGGCCACACGGAAAACATGAGGCAACGGGCTAATGGAAAGAGTGACGAAGAGTGCTCCTAAATGCCAAAGCGCGGCACCTCGTTGCGTTGAATGTCGTTCTTCCAATAAAACGGAACAAGTACATGAAGCGGAGACTGTAGCCCCCGAATCCACTCTGAGTTGTGCCAGTCCGTGTCCACATGTGCGTCTCCCTCTGTCGAAGCACGAGTTGGAAACCAACAGAATACATGCATGACACTTGCATCCAAAAAGCATCTCCGAGATAACACGGGTGTAGACATCGATCTTGGCTGCTCCTAGAAACAAGTACAGTGCTAAGTACAGGTTGAAGTGTTCCCGTGAAGTGGGTCCTCTAGACTCTAGACCGCATCCGTCAGCCAAACCTATGACACACCACCTTCTCCAAGAGTCTTACAATGAAGTCTTGGTTGCTAGACTTCCGGACGCTGTCCTACAGCCATTGATATGGCAGCTATGCCGGCAGCAGCACTCTCTGTTTCAGTGTATTTCTGGCGACATAGAGAAAGTCAACGCTTGAAGTGATAAGCCGCTGCTGAAACAGGATTCAAAGCAGCGAGCTTCACAACACAAGCCAAGCCGACAAAAGCTGGCTTGTCCGTTGCCGTCGCTTCAAGGCTTCAGTTTATGGGCGTGGGGGCCGTGGGGCGGCCTTGACAAGACAAATCGTATCCTTGGTACTCACGACCATCAAGATCGTAGAGCCCGCTGTCATGGAAGAGGTCAATTCCTCAAGCTCAGCACACGTCAGACCCTCCCAAGCACCTCACTACACTAAATCCTCAATACTCTACCAATCCACTCGAGATCGAAGCATAAACCCAGTGACAGCGGGATGTTTGATGCTTGACATGCAAGCCGCCATCATTAGGGGGGTTCAAAGTCTTGATGTCGGGCTTGATGTTTGCTTGAGGCCTAAAGGGCTATATACTGTTTCATAGTTGGGTGTATCACAGTTTATTTCCCTTGAGATAAATGATACGTCATGTAAGGGTCTCTTCTTGTACATGAGGAATCCCTGTCCTCTTCTGAACTCACGCTTCAGAGATGGTCATGTAGTCTACATGATCTTGTAAGGTTGCACATCCGTCCCATAAACTAAACTCAATCAGCGTCCCCCTTATGGTCCCTCATATTCCTCGTGCTCGTCGGACACCAACACCAACACGCTTTAAGGACATGCTCTGAGGTTTAGGATTTCGGCTTCGTCCTATGCAGTCAGCGCTAGCTCAATGAGGGAGCAGGGCGTGTTAGCTCGCCGTGTAGGTTGAGGGTTGAAACATAACCACAGTAACAGATCCGCATAAGTGACGCGACAGACAAGTTTCGGAGCTCCACGTGCGAAACACCGTCTGCCAAGAAGTCTTGAAGCGTAGCCCGCAGATATTCCCTGCATTTCGGTGCGGGCTTAGGATCTCAACCGTGGCATGTCACGAAAACACCCATTTGTTTCGAGCTGACATGATTGACACAGTCAATGCGTTTCATTGCGTTTCTGGGTTTTGCCTTTGGTTCTTTGTGCAACTCGCGCTTCGAGTCCATGACCCAGTGGGGGGTAGGGCTCCAGCACTGGACTGAGGCCATTTCGACGAATAAAATACGGCTTGGGCTTGCAGGGTTTCGAGTCTCAAACTGGCATACGACAGGCAAGGCTTTGCGACAAGTCTCTCTTGCATCCAACTTCAGACACTGGGCGCAGTCACCATGAACCCAACCTATGCATATACCTCCTTCGGAGCGAGCGCATGGAGATCAAGAAAAGGGCTTAGGGCTTAACGCTTCAGGTTTTAGCGTAGTGTGTAGGGCTCATGTCTTTCCTGCTCCGGGATGACAAGCGCACTTGATGGCAACCCCTAGCGCAACCAGCCGAGAGGCTCCACAGCCAGCCTGTTGGTGAAGAAATCGCCAAGGCGAACAAAGACATCCTTGGCGAGCTGCCACGAATTCCGGAGATTTTGTGACGAACTTGGGCTGAACGGCTCACACATAAAGTACCGCAAACCTCACATGGCCTCACCTGACGAAAATGACAGGCCTCCTAGTCCGTCGACATTGGTTGAAGGCACAAACTTCGTCCCAAGCCAGACAGGACTCTGCAAACTTGCTCCAAATCTGCGGCGAAGTCAGCATTTCGTCCTCCCAGAGGTCTAATTCACAGCAACAGCGCTCGGGGCAAAGCAAGAGCCGTATGTCAAACCCTCGATTAACTGAGTCGCCAATCTCACAACAGGCATCAACAAATCAAAACACATGTTTGGTGAACACTCTCATTCCTCCTACTCCTGACAAGAGATTGCACTCATGTATTACTGTGCTTGTGTGTGTGTGTGTGCTTGCGTGTGTGCTCGCCATGTTTTTATGCATGAATGCCGGAAGAGACGCATTGGATATCGGGAACATTTCAATCTATAAGCGAGGCAACTAAGCGCAAGTTCATGTACTAATATGGACAGTCAATATGTGATCGTAACGTGTCCCAAAGTGTGTACACGGATTGGAACATGCAGGGACGCTTGTAACTCCTCGCAGAGATGATGAGGTTCAGACTAGATTACAGTAGATGCCCTGAAGCATCCCCAAGCGACTGGATAAGATGCCCTCAAACAATCTTGCCTCTTCCTGGATGACGAGAAGCTTGAGCAAGTCGGCCTGTTGCGCAGGGCTATGTGGCTTCAAGGGTCCCTGTAGGCTCACATCGGCCAAAACAGGCACAGACAGGGGTACTTGGCCGAGGGTGCAAGTGTAGGGACTACAGGGTCCTGAATTCCATCCGCTCAGAGTAATTGGCTTTCGTTCCAACCCGCAAGCGTCCCCGACACCATCAAACGCTCGGTTCTGTCCCTTGTGCAACTTTATGCCAACCATCGAATGCAAAATCCCCGAAGAAGCGAGCTATGGGAGACCACCATATGCCTTCTGATCCCAGCCGCAACCCCCCACCCTTTACATGAGCCTTGAAGCCTGCATTTTGCAGAAGCTTTTTTGCCGGGAGATAGCCAGGTGGAATGGCCTGCCGGAGATGCTCTCCGAGTGACAACTCACGTGCAGCTTGCGGTTGAAGGGCATTGGGGATCTTTGACACTCATACTCGGGCAAACCTGGCAAGGTCTCTAACGACAACCTTACGAGTTCAATGAGAATCTGTTAGGATGTCTCAGAGCTTGGTTTGGGGATGAGGGCTTATACGCTTTGGGGATTCTAGAGCGTGGGACCTCAAGGCCCCGAATCCTACTTTACCTTTTCGGGCTCAGAGCAACTCATGCTCTGAAACCCGGATCCGGGCCTGCGAGGAGTTGTAGAAAGCAAGAGTTCCTCTCAGAGCGACGGCTGCTATAGGGTTTCCCCACCCCGTTCCGCAAGGACCACACTAGAAATCCTGAGTTGGAAAGTCCGAGGGCTATGTGAGTCGTCGTCAAAACCCCGTTTTGGCGCAATTATCCTATATAACTCAATCGATGCGTGTACTTGCGGCCGCCGAACAAAATATGAGGACCGCATGTAGATACACAAATTGTACATATACTAATATATACATACAATACATCTGAACCGACATATACAGGGCATATACGTATAACTAAATAAATTTATATATGGTATGGTATGACAGATCTAAGATGATATGTATGTGCGTATATACATACATATTATTGCATATACCTGCGCACACACACAGAGACATACATACTTACATAATTCCTTATAATATATACATACTTATATACGAGAATGCCAGTCTAAGTGTACGGATTGAGGGGCTACAGGGCCCCGGGCTTCAACATGTGAAGGCTGGGTATCTGTTGGGGTATCGATAGGCCACACAATTACATTCCTGTCAATAACCCGATTTTGGGCTGACAAACTCAAGT